GCGGGGGCTCTGGCGGCGAAGAATATCGGAGGTGGGGTGAATTATGTCGCCGTGTGCGCCGCCCTGAGCGTCGGCGCGGGCGATTTCACCGCGGGCATCGCCGTGGATAACGTCGCCGCTTTGATTTTTTTTCCACTCTTAGCGGCGTGGGCGCGACGCGTGAACGCCGACGGCGATGGCGGCGACGGTGGTGAGGATTTGATTGATACACACAGTATTCTGGGCGTCGAGATCGCACGTAAAGATGACGCCGACGCGTCTTCGGCGGACGCGCTCACGACGGCGTTTGTCACGGTCGGAGCGCTCGCCTGCGGAAACGTCCTCGCGAACGTCGCCGGATTCCCAACCGCGACGCTTCCGTGCACGACCGCCTTGGCCGTTATATTTGCCACCGCGGCTCCGACGCTGGCGCGTCCGATCGCTGCGACGGCGGAACCGTTGGCCACTTCGCTGCTGTTTGTTTTCTTTGTCATCGCCGGCGCGTCATCCGGCGACCTCTCGCCCTCGACTTTGGCTCGCTATGGCGACGTCTTCCGCTATTGTGCGGTACTTTACGCAGTGCACGTCGCACTCGTGGCCGCGTGTGCCACGTTCATCGACGGCGGTCGCCGGAAGCGCGAGTTCATCCTCGCGAGCAACGCCGCGGTGGGCGGTCCCGCCACGGTCGCCGCGCTCGCGACCTCCGCCGGATGGCGACGGCTCTCCGTTCCCGCCGTTCTCTGCGCCGTCGCCGGGAACGCATTCGCCACGTTCATCGGCATCGCGTTATCCTCGGCGTTCGGTCGTTTCGCGGGGTGACGCGCGACCATCGTTCAAACGTCGGCGTCGGCGCTCGACGACGCCGCCCGCGTGAGCCGCAGAGCTCGACGCGCGCGTCTTCGATCACGAACGCGATCCAAGTCGCTTGAACGAAGTACTCAGCGTCGAGAACGGAAGTCCCGTAAAAGGCGCGATCGCCGTCGTCTTCATCGCCATCGACGCGCGCGCTGTGAACGAGCGACGGCGCTCAACGGTGACGCAATCGAGGGATCGTTCGATCGAAATCTCATTCTTTAAGCACGAATGGATCCGCCCCCGCGCGCGCAGGTGTCGATGAGCGGGTTGGATGGAGAGATGCGTCAGCTCAAGGTACGGCGTCGACGCTCGCGAGTCGCGTCGATTCAGCGGTCCGTGTGCGGGAAACGAACGGAACGACGAATTTGAAGATTTTGTTTGAAAAGACGAAACGACTGACGACGCCCCCGTCGACGCTTTGCGCGCGTAACATCAGGACCATCAACAGACGAGAGAGGAACTGCTGAATCGCGTGCACTCGCTCAAGGCAGAGCTTCACGATTGGCGCTACAAGATGGACGCAAAGGTGAAGAACTATAAAGGCGAACTCTCAGAGCTCAAGGATACGCTGCACAACGAGACTGAAGCTTTGAGACGGGAGTTGGAGGAAACGAGCGCGCGATTGAAACGACAAATCTCGAGGACGCGAGACAACCAGGAGCATCGATACAGCGCCGCGAGCTCGCCCTCTGCGCGGCTTAATCGCGCGCACGAAGATTAGGTGAGAACTTTCGGAGAGTGTAACAACAGCAGGAGAGATGGCGATATTTGCGGCGCGTTGACCGCGTGACATTTCGACTCGGCGTGCGCGTAAGAAGATGTCGGATAACACCATCGCGGTCTCAGAGGTGTTCAAACGCGTGCAGTCACATTCGAACGTGATCGGTTTGGGGATGATTTCACCTCGTGGCGAGTTGCTCTCCAGTTCCGGAACGTTTGACGCGGCGCTGGGACGGCGCGCAGCAAGATTGGTCGCCGTGGCCACGTCGACGCTGGAACAAACCGGAGAAGACGATGAAAATAGTATCGATACTGACGCCGAGGTCGTCCGCGCGCGCCGTGGTAATCGCGAGCTCGTCGTCGCTCGATGCGATGACGTCATTCTTGCGGTTCTCTCTTGTGCGCGGTGACGACGAGAGGCTCCACTCACTTGACGACGCACGCACGGATGACTTTTTCGATCTTACGCGCGACAAACATCACAAGAGCCTCTCATCATTATGATCGCCGCCATCGTGAACGGTCTCGCTTGAGATCGCGTAGACACAAGCCCAAGTCTGCGCACCACTTTGGCGCCTTGACGCACGAGGAGCGAGTGAAGGTGCTCGGCGAGGCGGTCCTACGCTCGGGTGCGATCGTCTTCACCAAGAACCACGCTGGCAAGTACACCGCTGTTAATGATGACTACCTGGCGGCATTCGGATTCGACGACTCGAGCGACGTGGTCGGTAAGAGCGACGATGAAATCGTTGAGACTCTTCTCGGTCGGGGACAAACATTTCATCACTCATATCGTGGCGAGTCCATCACTGACCTGCCGGCAATCTGGCGAGCTCACGACGAGATGGCGCTCGAGCGACCGATGTGGTTCAAAGAGCGATCGCTACTCGGTGGTGGTGTGGATACAAAGCTTCACGAGTTCGTTGTGATGAAAGCGCCGTTCGAGGACGGTATCATCGGCGTCGCCGTTTCCGAAGGCACGTGAAGAACCCAAACTCACGGGACAAGACAAGAAACCGATACGCGTAGAGTAGCGTTGTTGCTAGTTTACTTAGTTTTACAATCAATTCATGAAAAGAATCTTCCGAGTCCGAACGTTGACGCTATAGCGTTCGCGCTTTGCTCGAGCGATTTGTTTATCGCCACCTCCGTCGAATGCACAAACGTTGGCTCAAACTGCGAACGGATTTCTTTGACGCGCACCAGGTCTTCCGCAGATCCACCGCACAAGGACACGAGGGTTGGGAGGAGTGATTGTTGCACATCCCAATCCTCGGAGAAGAGAAACGCCATGACCACTGTGCGAATGTACGACACTTCCTCTTCCTGCGTGCGCTTTGAAGAGCAAAGCGGTGGCTTTGGCAGGACGACGGTTGGCGCGGCGCTCGGCGGTTTCCCTGACATTTTTCTCGCAAAATCGAGCTCACGGTCTTTCGAATCTATCAGATTTCTCGCCTTGCGTTTCCAAGCCTCAAAATCTTCCCGTTCTCTCGCCAGCGTTGATTTTGCCTCGCGCGCGGTGTCCTCCGCTGTGTGTCGAGCCGTCACCGCGGCGTCGCGCTCCGTCTCAAGCCTTCGATTCTCAGCCACAATCAGATCTACTTTACTCGCCGTGGTCTGGAGCTTGTCCAAATCTTCGTCCTTCACGCTCGTTCCTCCCAAGAGTGAGTTTATTTCAATCTGCTTCTCCGCGGCGTCGACTCGATTTAAGAGCTCAGCGTTTTCTTCTCCCAAGCGCTTAATCGTCTCACGAGCCGTTGTGCAATCCTGGCGCAGCGTCGCCGCGATATCGTTCAAACGCGCGACATCGGCACTAGATTTAGCCGCGTGCGCGCGCGCTTCGTCGAGCTCATTGCGAAGACGAGTCTCTCGCAATTCGCGCGCGTCGTCGCGGTTGGACGAGTCTCCGCCCATGTCGAGCTGAAACTGCAACGCCCGCACGGCCGCCTCGCTATCGGCGAGAGTCATCTCGACGTCGGCGAGTTGATGTTTCACGCGCTTGTTCTCTTCCTCGAATTTAGCGGCGCGTCGAACCGCCTCTGCCGCGCCGTGTACCTCCGCCGCGTGCACGGCTTCTCTGCGTCTGAGCTCGGACACCTCGTCGAGAGCCTCGTCGAGACGAAGGCGAAGATTCTTCGCGATACGCTCGCCCGCCTCCACAGCTTGCTGCTGCAACAGCGTGCTCGTTCGCACTGCGTCCTCGTTTGCGAACTCGAGCGCGCGAACTTTCTCCCTGGTCTGATTCAGCTCGTTGTTCAGTCTCGTCAAGGTTTCGCGAAGCTTTCGCTCGTTTGCGTCGAAATCTCCGCGCACGCGTTCGCTCGCGTTCGCCTCCGCGACCGCGCGCTCGAGCCTCGTTTTCATCTCCTCCGTCGCCATCGCTAATGGTTTCAAGCGCTCGATCTCGCTTCTCGCCTTTTCATTCGCCTCGGTCTCGATTTTCAACTTTGCGTTCGCCGCCGCCAACATCTCGCTCAGCGCCTCGGCGTTTGGTCCGCTCAAAGTTGTCTCTCCCGTCTCTCCACTCAGCGCTACTCTGGCCTCCAAAACGCTCGCCCTGACGCTCGCTGCTCTCTGTCCTTCCTTCGCCTCCTCCGTCTCCGCCCTTAATCGCTCCAACTCTCGCTCTAACGCTCTCGATCGACACTCCGCGTCGTTCGCAAACGCCTCGGCGTCCGCGCACCGTTCCTCCAACTCCCTCACCTTTGCGAACGCCTTGCTCACTTCCTCTCGAGCGATGAGTTCGGCGTGTAACGCTTGACGCTCGAGCGCCTCCTCCTCGGGATTATTCCCCGTCGACGCCGCGCGCTCGACGCGTGCCTCGCTCGTCGTCGTCACGCCTCGTGTTCTCGACGCATCCTCGTCGTCGCGCGCGATGGTCGTTTCCGTCACCGCCTCGGTCGTCGACGTCGCGGCGACCGTGGACGGTTTCATCGGAGCATCACCGCGCGTCCCGGCGGTCGCTCGCTTTCGTCCCATGACGCGTCGCGCGCGTCGACGTGCGGGCGATCGCTCGGTCGTTGCCGTGCGCGTCGTGTGTCACCTGATTTTAGGGTATAGGGTTTAGACACCGGTCGACCGCGCGGCGCGCGCGACCGCGACCGCGAACGCGCGCGCGAACGACGCCGATGACGACGCCGATGACGACGCGAACGATCGCGTCGACGTCTTCCGCGTCGACATGGTCGAGAACGACGCGCGCGAGCGGTCACGGCGTGGGATCATCTCGCGGTGTGTCCTCGCATCGACATCGGTGGCGCACCGAGGCGGTGCACGAGGACGCGTCGGCGGAAATTTTAGCGAACAGGGCGCTGGAGATGATCGAGGATGACGACGTGATCGGGTTATCCAGGGGCGAGCACTGCGCCGAGCTCGCGCGACGGCTGGGTGAGCGACGACGGGAGGGACTCGCGCCGCGCAACGTGCGCGTCGTTCCTTTGGAGGCGATCGCGGCGAAGGAGTGCGCGGTGCACGGGTTGGAAGTGCGGTCGATCGACGAGGCACCTGCGATTATGAAGACGTTCGCGCAACCGAGTGAGTGCGCGTTGGCGGAGGTGAACGGGAAGACGTCCATTGCGGCGATTTTTGGTCGGGAAACGACGCCGGTGCAACCGGACATCGCTCGCGTCAAAGCGGCGCTGAAGAAGAGCTTGAAAGTGGTTCTGTTGAAAGAATTCGTGATGGATCGAATCGGCGGATCGATCCCACTCGTCGTCGACGCGGAAAATTGGGAGGAACACGCCGAGGAGTTGGACGATTTGTTCTTGGGAGATGCCGAGGTGTGGAGACGAGGGGCAAATTTTGACGCCAATCCCCGCGGTGGGAGCAATCCGTACGTCTCCGCCGACGGCTCGCACACGCTCTTGGACTTACGATTCGAGGACCCGATCAATGGTGGACGATGGGAGTGCGGCTTGATACTCGACGGCGAGCCGTGCGGACCGTACGAACTTCAGTACGCGCTCGAAAATGACGTCTCGGGTGTGTCGGCGCACGGCATCTACACCCAGGCGGATGCGGTGATAACGATCAATCCAGAGAGCATGGAGGCAGTGATAATCTCTCGAGACGAGTGATTGTTAAGCTAAACCTATTGATATTCGAAATTCTATTCCTAATTCGCTAAGCGTTCGTCGCAGTACGCAGAAAACATTTGCGTCTCGACAAACGCGCGCATGAACGAGCGATCGCGTCCTGTGTACGTGCCCAAAAAGGATTCCTTGAGCAAAATGGCCACCTTTGCGTCGCCGCCCTCGTTCACGTCGGTGATGGAGTGGTATCGAATGCTCGACACGAGCGAATTGACGTACGCGCGCCAGGCTCCGAGAAACTCTTTCGACGCCTCCACTGCCGCTTGTGAGGGATCGATGACTGGACGTTTCTTCCGATTCGCAGACGCCTCCACCACAGCCTGGTGGAGCGGATAGAGAATACGCACGACATCGTTCATTCTCGGCAGACGAAGAGATTTTCCTCCCTCCCACTGAAGCTTCACATCGTCCTTGTACACGTTGATTCGGCACAGATGGCTCGTTCGCGCGCGCAAATCACTCGTCTTGTGCTGCACTCCGCATACGAACGGTACAGGGGCGTCCAGAAAATCAACCATGTGCTGGGGAAGAATCGGCAGGTACAGAGATTGCCACTTGAAAGGGCGAAGCATGGGTATGAGTGCGAGCGAAACCGCGCTCAGCTCGCCCAAATTGTTGCTGAAAACGACGATTTGCTTCTCGAGCAAAGCGGCGGTGAGGAGTGAGAGGATATTCTCGAGGCTCAAGCTACAGCACAGACTGATGACGGCCCAATCTTCCAGGTGCGATGCCTCTTCTTCCGCCGACACGCAAGTGGTACACGTCATTGGACCCTGCACCGGTGAGGCGATGCGCTCGGACGGCTTTGGGCGCCCGTACTGAATCGATTTCACGCCCTCGCTTGGTACAAACTCGCCACCCTCCTCTCCCAGTGGCGGGACGCTCGTCCTGAGATAATTCCGCAGCGCGATCATCGACTCGCTTTCGCTCGAGATGAGCGACGATTGTAACGCCGCGTCGTCGGAGCTACCGTCGTCAGGAAGTAAATCATTCATGTTTTGCCTGATGCGCTCGACGCGTTCCATGCCCAACACATGCGACAAAACTTCAAAGTGTGTTCGGAAGAACGGTACTCGGCTCAGGATGCAGTAGCACCGTGGGGCGACCTGAATGTATCGACTCTTCAGCAATCCACCAGGGCTCTTCATCGGCGTCGAGTCCGATGGGGACTCGTCAGCTGCGCTCGAGGATTCCGTCGAGCGTCTGGCGTGTTGCACTATGGGCGGCGCTTGGTGCAATACCTCCGTAACGTACGCGCACACGCCGTACATGGGCGTGTTATCACTCGTCTGCACTTGGAAAACAAATACTTGCTCGTCGCCGTCGTCGAATGTGCTCCCGTATATCATCTCTTGCAACTTGCTCATGCTCGGCGTGCGCTCGAGCAAGCGCGGCTCGACGCCGTGTGGAAAACAAAACGCCGCCACCTCATCAACCGCGAACTTCGGCGTCTCTTCGCCGTCGCTTGGATAATGGAGCAATGTCGATGCCTTGTACGTCTCCCCAGCGGTACCACGATAGGCACGAAGCTTTCGAGGATCCGTAATTCGCATCGGCGAGTCGCTTGAAGCCGTCAGCGTATTCATGCGCGCCTCGCGCGCCGCTGCCGGGGAATCGGCCACCACCCCGACCTCCGCGTCGGGCTCGAGTCCACACACCAGAAATGCCTCCATCATTTTCAACGGACCACTCTTCCTCGCCGGTGTCACTCGACCCGAGCCACTCGGAGTTCCTGCTGCGTCCGAGTCGTCGAAACTCATCGCGCGCTGGTCCCGTAACCATCTGCGCTTCTCCGCCGTGAACTGTTCGGGATTGAACCACGACCCTGAAGACTGATCATCGGGTGTGTACTCGTCCCCGATATCATCTTCTTCGAAATCATCCCGCATCGTTGGCGTTCGCACGTCCGGCGAGTCATCCATAGCAGCCGACGTTGAAGTCGCGCGCTCCGTCCCGTTCGCTCGCGCGTCATCGCCTCGCTCTACCGTCGCTGTCTCCGCGCTCTCGCTCTTTGCGGTGAACGACAACGCGCGTGCGAAAGCACTCAATGTTCGTGTCAACGCGCTCGTCGTCGTCGTCGTCGCCGTGCTTGTCGTCGGAAGCGAGTGAGACTGTGCGTTGGAGCTCGTTCGATGATGATTCGCGATTATTTCCACGCCGTTTATCATCGTCCTCGACGACGACGTTTTGGTGAAAGTCGGTACCGATGCATCGTTGGTACCAACTTTATCGTCGTCGTTTGACATCTCGAAGACGCCCGCGAGGGCGTGTGCGGGACCGAGCTCGATGTGAATGTGACTCGCTGTCAACGCGCGCGCGCGCGTCGAGCGCGGCGTTCGCTTACGACGACGTGCGTGGAAATTCAGAATTCGGAATTACATCGATCGATCGCGACGTTTGTTCACGCGCTCGCGTCGGCGCCGTTCTCGCGCTCACGCTTTGCCACGCCCGTGGACCCGAACCCGCCGGCGCCTCTGGTCGTGTCGTCGAGCTCTTCGCACTCGACGACATCCGGGGTGACGATCTGCTCGAGGATGAGCTGCGCCACGCGATCGCCCTTCTTCACGACGAAATCATTCTCACCGTGGTTGAACAAAATAACTCCGACGTTTCCGCGGTAGTCGTAATCCACCACCCCGGCGCCGACGTCGATGAAGGACTTCCACGCCAAGCCCGAGCGAGGCGCGACGCGCGCGTACGTCCCCTCCGGAATCGCCACCGAGATGTCCGTCTTCACCAATTCCTTCCCGCGCGCCGGAACGACGTAATCATACGCCGACGACAAATCGTACCCGGCCGCACCGCTGGACCCGCGAACGGGAACCGTCGCGTGTTCGCTCAACTTTTTCACTCGCAGCGCGGTCGCCATCGTCCGCTCTCCGCGCGCGCGCGTCGATCTCCGTCCTCGCGCGACGTGCTCGAGCGCGGACGGACGCGCGAGAAAAACACGTAAACCCCTCGTCGTCTTCACCGCACGCGCGCGCGAGGTGGTGTCCCGCCCGCGCCGCGTCCGCGCACCGCGCGAGAGACTTTTCAAATTTCAAAAAAAAAAACACGACGCGTGCGTCCAATCACACACCGACAAAGGGTGTGCGTCCAATCACACACCGACAAAGGGTGTGCGTCCAATCACACACCGACAAAGGGTGTGCGTCCAATCAAAAACGATACCGCGGACGGCGCGCGGTGGACGGCGGCGCGCGCGCGACACCGTGCGCGCGCGCGGTGGACGGCGGCGCGCGCGGGGGCGAGATCGAGACGGTGATGAGCGCGACGCCGACGCCGACGGACGCGTCGACGGCGTCGACGCCGGCGGGGGCGGGGTACTCGTCTAAAATTTTGGGATTGAAATTCATGCAGCGCGCGCGAGAGCGCGAGCGAGCGGTGGAGACGATCGCGGGAGCGAATAAAAAGATCGCGGACGATCGACCCGAACCCGCGGTGTTCGCGAAGAATCGAGCGAAGATCAATCTACCGATGATTCGCAGGGAGGAGAGGACGGAGGTGCCGATACCGTGCGACGGCGTCGGCCGGTTTTCATTCGGAGGCGCGAATCCAGAGGTGGAGGCTTTACACAAAGAGTTGAGAGAGCGTAAACGAGCGAAGAAGGCGATGAAGCGGGCGAAGAGAAGTAAGGATGCGGACGTGGGCGAAGAGGAGATGGCGGACGCCTCGTTTGCGGCGAAGCGGAAGCAAAAAGCGCCGGAGCCGGGTTTCGAGAAGCCTCCAGAGCTCGGAAGCGGGAAGAAGCGCAAGAAGTGACGGTTCATGAATAGAACGAACGTTGTAACATCAGAATGAACGATTTGTAGATTACAGGGCAATTCAAGAAATGTTTTCGGCGAAGTTAGTCGAACAACGTGCCATCCTGGTCGGTTTGCAACGACGCCATGGACGGGATTTCCGTGCCAAAGTAGCGATCCCCGAACTCGCCTACGCCCGGTAACACTTTGTTATCGTCACTCAATCCGGCGTCGACCTCGGAGGTGATTACCTTCATCCGAGGGTACCTCGTGCATAAGTGGTGCACGCCTTGCGTTGACGCGATGACGCTCAGAAAGAGAATCTTTTCCTCCTTCACGCCGCGATCGAGAAGTAAATCGACCGCGGCCTGCGCGCTTACGCCCGTGGCTAAAATTGGGTCTAAAACGAGCACGAAACGATCCGCGATATCGTGCGGAAGCTTCTCGTACAAGATTCTCGGACAGGTCTCCGACTGCGGCGAACCGACTTTGGGATCGCTCTCAGCGCGACGCAGTCCATCCCTGTCACGACGCTCGATGAGCAGTTTACCGATTTTGATCCCTTTGCAGCACGCGCGAAGGGCGTTCTCCATCGCCTCCCCGGAGCGAATGATGGACACCCCGCACAGTTTGCTGCAAAACGTCACGCCCTTGTACTGGTCGCCGGTGGGCGTGAAGACGACGTGTTCGTTGAACGGAAGATGCCCTAACCCGTGCTCGACGACGAGACGAATGATACGATCGCTGTAGAAGACAAAGTCGCTTCTGTTCACCGAACGATCGCGAATTATGGTGTGCATCCCTCTGATTTGAAATTGCGGCGGAAGAACGACCAGGTTGCGATATATTCGTCGCAAGTCGTTTTGGCCCAGTTTCGTGCGAATGTGCTGCACGATCAAATCGATGGCCACAGAGTTTTCACCTTGAGCCCAAGGAATGATGACATCGGCGTGTCGCTTGCTCGGCGAAACGTACGCGTCGAACATCGGTTTCACGAACATCGTGTACTGCGTGATGACTCCGTCGACGCTCCGTCCGCGATCCACCGTGTCTCGCTTCAAACGTCTCGCCAATCGCAAGTCATCGTCCGTGTCGACAAAAACTTTCATATGACACATGTTGCGAATCTCTTCCATCGCCAGCACCAAAATTCCCTCGATAATGATGACGTCGCCGCTCTCGATGCGAATAGTCTCTTCGCTTCGCGAGTGCGTGACGAAATCGTACACGGGCACGTCCACGGGCAGTCGCAGCATGAGCTTGTGCAACACATCCTTCAGACATGCTGTATCGATTGCGTCCGGATGATCAAAGTTGTACGATCCCACGTTCTCTCGCTCGTGTGCGGTGAGTGGCCGGTAGAATGAATCTTGCGCGATGAGCACCACGCGTTGCTCCTGCAAGTTTTGCATGATTAAATCGCACACCGTCGTCTTACCGCTCGCCGTGCCCCCGGCGACGCCGATGAGGAACGGTTCACGGTTTCCTCCGCATCGCGCGATGCGCTCGTCGTACGTGGAGACGAATTCTCCATTCATCCCGCGTCTCGCCTTGCCCGCCGAGCAGTTGTTCTCCAACATCTTCGTAAAGTACTTTGTCGGCGACCCGACTTCGGGCGAACCGATCGATGCGCTCACGTGCGCCCCGACGCCTTGGACCTTCGTTCGCTGCTCCATCGGTGGGATCTCCAGCGCGTTCACGTCGTAAGAGTCGCGCACGTTGAGAGCGCTCATGTTTTCACTCGCCTCGGTCACGATCGCGCGTCTCATCGGCGCGCTCACGTGCGCTCGACGCGACGATTGCGGACGATGACGATGGGAGCTCTATCTTCGCTCGCGTCGTCGTCGCGAACGAAGATCGAGAACGACGCGTGATGCGGACGAGCGGCGATCTGCGTCGAGCGGATGCCTCGCGTTTCGAACCGCCGCGTCCGTTGTCTGTCAACATTCAGTCGGGAACCACAGTTTCATAGCGCGACCTCGAAGGGAGAGCGAGAACGGACTACGCTCTCTTCGCACAAAAAAATCAATAGCTATGTTTATCTGCGAGCACCGGTAGCGCTATCGGCACCTCGTCGACTTTCATTCGAACGAGACGTCGACGACGACGGGAAGATGGTCGCTTGGATGGGTCTCGTTCGGCAGCCCTTCGCCCAACGTTTCACGACGTGGCTGCTCTTTCACACGTGTCACGGTGATACCGTCGGACACAAAAATATAATCTATGCATGCCGTGAAACTCGGTGTCACATTCGTAAACGCAGGTTCTCGACCACTCGACGCGGATGAAAACGTAGCGGTCATCACGCGGTAGACGTCGCTGTCCGGCTCACTGTTAAAATCTCCGCCGATGATGACGTGCGGGCGGACGTCAGAGCCGGCGCTCGCACGTTCATCTACGAAACGTTCGCACTCTTCCACCAAACGTTTTGCCTGCTGTACTTTGACGTCCGAGTACTGCGGATCCCAAAAAATATGTGTCGAGCACACGAGCACCTCGGCGCCATCACGCATTCGCTTCAGAACCGTCAAATTGGCCACGCAATCGCGAAGGTATCGCTCTCTCTCGTCACTACGCTCATCATCGACATCGCCATTGTCACTCTTCGAGTACATCTCGTGCGCGATGTCGTTGTACGAAACCGCCCTGTGATCGACACAAGTGAACGCGTTGCGCCGCCAAGCGACGCACGAGCCATCCTTCTTCGTGTTCGTTCTTCGCACGTGTCGAGAGTCGTATCCTTCGCTCTCGAGCCACGAACGCCACGACGGCAATGACGTCGAAGTCACCGCCGATCCGTCGTCGTCGTACCCGTCGAGCTCTTGGAGACACAACACGTCGGCGTCGAGCTCTCGAATGTATTCTCTCGTCCTCGTCAGTCTCGATTTCGCCTTCATCAGCGCGCGCTCGGTCCAGGGAAACCACGCGCTCTTGGCGTACACGTTAGCGAGCACGTTGTACGTGACGACTCTCACAGATGACGACGTCATGGCGTTGACGTCTCGATGGAGGACGAGTAGTGAGAACGTCGTCGCGCGGGTTCCTTGGTTTCACGAAAGTCTCGATTGTCGCAAATGTAGTTTTACACGGCTATTTCACGCATTTTCTTTCGAACTCATCCTGTACCTTGAGCTGAAGGGCGTGACTAATATCGAGGTGCGCCTGTATCGTCACGGACGGATGCAGGAGCCACGTTTTCGGGATGTTCTGAAGCACAAAGTGGTCGATGATAGTTTCGTCAGTGCCGACGAAAAGCAAGGGTAACATCAGATCGTACGCACGACTGTGTAACATGTACATATCAGACGAACGTAAGTCGCACCCCGCGGCCGATAGAGCGCACAGCTGTCCTCCCTCTTGTGTGTTCCTGCACGCGCACTGCGACGGGCACCTCGTCACATCCTTGACACCCGTCGTGACTTCAATGTACCCTTTCCCTTGCTTACGCGTCTCAAACTTCTCGAAAAGGTGAGGACGAAACGCTGGACGAATAACGTTCCAAGAAGCGAGAGATCCGTGCTCGTCCAACTCGAGCTGCACGCGCCCCAGACTGCTCGTCTCGGTGTCAAAGTCTTCTCGGAGAAGCTTCAACATGTCAGCCTCGGTGTCCGGGTGGATGTTCACTTCATGGTTCACAGTGGTGTCCTCCTCCATGACGACTATATTGTTGTATTTCTGTTCTTTCGCGTGTTTGATCATCATACCATGTGCCATAGAAACGCGCGTGTAGTGAGATTCCCACCATACGCCGGTGTCCATAGCCGCGCACCTGTCCAGCACGCCGCCGCTCACGCACGTGGCCTTACTCGCGTACGCATCGGGCACTCGCAGCGTGACGTTCGGAGACGCACAATTTTGTGATGTCAATACGTAGACGTGATGCGCAGCGGCGATGATCCGGTTCACCGAGCTGTCCATTGTTCTGTTGTCCGAGAGCGCAGGTACGAAAGCGTGCTCGCACTGCATCTCTGAGAGTGAGCTCATGTGTAAACGTCTGCGCGCTCGTGCTTCAGGACGTTCTCTCACAATCATTATCGCCAAAATACACGCGCACGCGGCGACGACAGCGACGAGCGAGCCCCATCGCGCTCGCGCGAATGACGGCGTCGTGCGTCGCGCTTGCGCTCCCGTTGCGTCCGCCACGTCTCGATCCGTCGCTCTCGATTCCTCGTCCTCGTCCGCAGTTCCGGCGCTCGATCGTTGTTCTCTCAATTCTCGCACTCGTCGAGTGTTCAACAGCGCCTCCGTCTCGTCCAACTCCCGCTGTAGCGCCTCGAGCGCGGCTTCTCTCGAGCGCGGTTCGCCGCTTCTAGAACGCGCCGGCGACGACGCCGTTCTCGCCTCGCCCTCCATCATCGATAGCGTTCTCACGCCCACGTCGCGTCGGTTCCCACCCTCGCTCGTCGTCGTCGCCGTCGCCGTCGCCGTCGTCGTCCTCGTCGTCGTCGTCTCGTTCGCTTCGTTGGGTGTTGACGCCTCCGTCCTCCCCGTCGTCGTCGCTCGGTGCGCGTCGTCGGCGAAGCGCGTCGTCGCGCGATGAAACCTCGACGCCATGCGCGTTCGCCCCGACACCGCGCGGTCGATCGCGCGCTCGACGCCCGACACCGCGCGGGCGACGCGCGATGGCACTCGAACGTCGCCGGTGTCGATTGTTCACCTCGCTCAGGGTTTAGTACTTAGGGTTTACACGAGGTCCCCATCGCGTCCGTCGTCGTCGTCGTCGTCGGTCGTCGTCGTCGACCTCGACCGCACGACGCGCCCGGCGGCGCGCATGTGCGCCGTCGTCGACGGTGCGCGGTCGTTCCCGTCGTCGGCGTCGTCGAGCGCTCGCTCGGGGCGGAAGACGAGCGCTCGTCGCGCGAAGACGCGGCGCGGCTCGGGCGCGCGAACGAACGCGCCGAACTCGATGGACGACACGTCGACGTCGACGACGACGCGCACGCCCAGGGACCACGAGGCGGGGATGATGCCGCGCGCACCGCTCTCGACGTCCGACGACGAGGCGCTGTGGGTGTTTGGATACGGCTCCATCGTGTGGCGCGTCGGTTTCGAGTACGAGGAGGCGACGGCGCCCGTGTGCGCGCGAGGATTCAGACGACGGTTCTATCAAGGATCGACGGATCATCGCGGGACGACGGAGTTTCCGGGGCGAACGGCGACGTTGGAACGGTGCGACGACGGTGAGGTGTGCTGGGGCGCGGCGTACAAAGTATCCGCGGCGAACCGCGCCGAGGTGCTCGAATATTTAGAGGTTCGGGAGAAGCAGTACGACGAGAGGATCGAGATGGACCTGTACGACGTCGACGACGCGTCTGCATCGCCCGTGATCTCGAACGCGGTGACGTACATCGCGACGCCGGCGGAGATTAATCTCAACTGGCTCGGAAACGCGGACGACTTGGCGGAACAAATCGCAAAAGCGCGAGGACCGTCCGGGGAGAACAGCGAGTATTTATACAATCTATGCGCGGCGCTGCGAGGGATGGACATCGAGGACGATGATTTATACGCCCTAGAGGCGCGCGTTCGAATGCTGAGGGGCGATTGATTTGGCTATTTTAATTTTGAGTTGATTGATGGTACACTAACACGCTCGATCCCGCCTTCTAACGAGATCTCGACCGCGATCGCGCAGCTCCTTGACGTCGCGCACACCCAACAGACCCATCGCGCGCTTTGTCTCGCACGTCAGCATATCGAATGCCTTGCTCACACCGCGCTCGCCGCCGGCGGCCAAGCCGTAGAGATACGCTTTACCGACGCCGACGGCTGTCGCGCCGAGCGCTAGAGCCTTCACGACGTCCACCCCGCGCATGACACCACCGTCGTAAATCACCTGCGCGTCCTCTCCAACCGCTTCGCGTATGGAAGGTAAAACATCTATAGGCGCCACGGTGCTCTCTAACTGTCGAGCTCCGTGCGCCGTCACCCAAACCGCGTCGTAACCGACGTCCAGCGCCCGCATTGCGTCGTCCGGTCTCAATATCCCCTTCAACGCTATCGGCCCGTCCCACTGCGAACGAAACCACTCGGCATCCTTCCAATTGAAGTTAGCGTCGAATTGTTCCGTCGCAAACTCAGCGATGGGTAACGAATCGCGAAGCAAACCATCGCGTTGCAAGTCTCGAATCAACGCGTACTCAATTCGCTGAGACGTTAGGAATTCGTACGTCCACGCTGGCGCCGACATAGCATCAACCGTCGTTTTGAATGAGTGCTTCGGCGGAACGCTAAACTGATTCCGCACGTCTCGTTCGCGGTTACCGAACCACGTCAAATCCGTCGTGAGCGCAACCGACGAAAAACCAGCCTCCCTCGCGCTCGCCAAGACGTCTCGCATCAACCCACGATCTTTCCACACGTACACTTGAAACATTTTTCTATCTGAATTTAATCCAGGGACGCGCTCGGCTATGTCTTTCGGCGACCGAGTGCCGAGCGTCGACAGCGTGAAGACGCGGTTGGACGTCGCGCACGCATTCGCGCTCGCGAGCTCTCCCTCGCGCGGCGCCCACAGCGCGTGTCCCGCCGTCGGGCACGGGAAAACACACTCGGTGTTATTGTGTCCCAGGAATGACACGCGCGTGTCCACGTCGCTGACACCTCGACACGTCGACGGATGAAATTCTAATTCGTCAAAGGCGCTCGAGTGTCTTTGCAGCGCTCGTTCGTCATCGGCCCCCCCATCGAGGTAGTCGAAAGAGAATCTAGGCTGCAGACGACTGGCTAAGCGTCTCAGGTCACGCGTGTTCACGCACTTCGCCAGCGAGGAGGGCGCGCGAGACATTGCGAGGCGAGCTCTGAAGACGGGAAAATAGTAAGCGTTACAAGCGTCGACGCGAAGTCGTACGTAAAAAATAGCTGCGTCTCAGTTCTTTTCCACAGGTGCCATGACGGAATCATCGAACACGGGTAAATCAAGGGGACGACAGAACGGGACGAGCTCTTCGCCATCCTCTGTCGGGAGCTCGTACGGCGTCTCGTGCGCACACATGTCGACGAAGAGCCTGTGCCAACGCGTGTCCGACGTGATTTCAGGATGGAACGACGTCGCGAGGAGCTTGCCTTGCTTCACGGCGACGATCACTTCATCCCTGCCCTCGTCCGAAGTTCCCACGAGCTTGGCCTTTTTGGACTCTGGGAGCTTGTACTTGGCGAGTACCTCCACGTTCGGGCCGGCGCTCGTAATAGCGGGGGCTCTGATGAACACCGCTCGGAACGGCGGTTCGTCCGTCCCGGTCGTCGCGGTCCACGGAATTTGGCACTCGAACGAATCAATTTGCGAGCCAAAGAAATTCCTATTCACCCCGACGTCCAATCCACCCAGGAGCTCCTGTCCCCCGAGCTTGCTCCCGCGTTCGATGTGGTCGGCGAGAAAGATGAGCCCGGCGCACGTCCCCCACACGCACCGTCCGCTGGCTTGGAACTCCCTGAGCGGTTCGAACAGACCGAATCTGCGCGCGATGTTCGCCATGGTGGTCGATTCACCGCCCGGGATGATTAAACCGCGGCAGTTCTTCAGGTGGGATCCCTTCCGCACCTCCACCGCTCGAGCATTCGGATGGCACTTGCGAACCAAGGCTTCGTGCTCGCGATAGCTCCCTTGAATGGCGAGGACGCCGATGACGATTTCATCTCGAGCGTCGACGGACATGTCGTTCGAGTCGTCCACGTCAACGTGTTCCCACGAACCGGACATGCGTGCGCGGCGGAGTGCGGGCGACGCGCGCGCGTGTGCGAGAGAGCACCCCTCGGCACACACGGTGGCTGGCGGCTACGTCATCGAGGTGAGAGTGGTGTTTTTGTTGTGCTCTTGCTCCTTTTGTGTTACAAGATCGCGGTGCTCATTTCACCGCGACAACGAGACGCTTTCTGAGCTCGATCGCATCCTTGATGTACGCATCCATGCGCACACCCTCACTGGCACCGCCCGCGCATCGCGGCGCGGCGCTGTTCGATATTCCGTGCTTCGCGAGCTGTTTCGCCAATTTGCGGCTTTGGTTGGGACCGACGCCGAACATGAAAATTTTCGACTTGGTCGTCGTCGACAGCAACGGCGCGAGAACGGACCATATGACGCGAAAAATCACGGGTGTGTTGACGAGATACATCAGGTGCAAAGAATCCGTGTATCGATGCGTCAAGAGCTTGACGAGTTCCGTCATGAACTTTTTCACCTCACCCGTAAAATAACTAAGCGTGACGCCGTCCAGATCGATAAAGCACACGTGTTTGTACACTCTGTGCGCGCACTGCGAGCGGGACTTCATGTACTCCAACGTCTCCATGACTTGAATTCTGTGTCGCAAAATTTCTGCGACCGTCATCCTTGATTTCAGTCCCTCTGGGGAGACGTGCGC